CTGCAGATAGTGGACGTCCAAACATTGGCACCTCATCGATTATGTCTTGGGGCGATGGAGAGATGTCCGCGATGTCCACCATACCCGTGTGATGCCCAGTGCAGAATGCCAAACAGACCATCGACTTGTGTGCTGTAAACTTAACCTCAGTCTTAAATTCAAACCTAAAAGGGGCAGCATCCCAAGGAGGAGACTCCAAGTCAACGATCTCCAATCAGCCACAGTGAGAAACAAATTCCAGGCTAATCTTCAAACTAGGCTTGATAACCATCCCACAGATTCTACAGATAGCTCTCCTGTAACACTCTGGCACCATATTAAAAACAGCATCCAGCAGTCCTCTGAAGAAATCTTAGGGTTCTCCCTCAAGAAGAACAAGGACTGGTTCGATGAAAACATTCAAAAGATCCAGAAATTATTGAGGAAGAATAGAACTGCTCACCAAGCACACCTTGCACTGCCATCCGGTCACATAAGAAAAACAGCTTTTCACATCACATGCAGCAAACTCCAACAGAAACTCCGTGACATCCAGAACAAGTGGTGGATCAGTCTAGCTGAAAAAACACAATTATGTGCAGACACGGGTGATCACAGAGGGTTCTATGAAGCCCTGAAAACAGCATACGGGCCTACATACCAAGCTCAAAGTCCTCTACTCAGCGCTAATGGTCAAACACTTCTAACAGATAAAACCTCCATTCTGAATCGATGGTCTGAACACTTTCAGACCCTTTTCAGTACCAACCGTGTAGTCCAAGACACAGACATTCAGTCCATCACACAACCAGTGAAGTATGAATTGGATACTGCCCCCAATTTAGAAGAGACCCTCAAGGCCATACAGCAGGTGAAAATCGGCAAGGCAGTTGGGGTTGATGGAATTCCACCTGAAGTCTGGAAACACGGGGGCCTTGCACTCCATGCCAAATTTCATGAGTTCTTACTATGCTGTTGGGAACTAGGCGAACTACCATCAGACCTTCCTGATGCAGTCATCATCACCTTGTATAAGAAGAAAGGAGTTAAATCAGACTGTTCAAATTACCGTGGTATTACTCTGCTCTCCATTGCTGGCAAAATCCTGGCAAGAATACTCTTGAACAGACTAATACCCACTATAGCAGAAGGAATTCTGCCTGAAAGCCAATGTGGTTTCAGAGCCAACAGGAGCCCCACAGACATGGTGTTTGTTCTCAGACA